AGATAGCGAATCAAGGACCGATCGGAGTCATCCTCACATGTCTAATGACGACTCATAAGCTCGGCGCGCTACATACGCAAGCGTGATACATGCGTAATCGTCCGCGCGCTTATTGGTGTGCGCGTGCAGCGAATATGCGTGTATACGGGCCGCATATAAGCGCGTATATAATATACGCTCGCACGCCCTCCTTCGCATAGAATTCACCATTCGCCTTCCGCTCGTCGCGCGCTGAAATATCTGAACGCGAACGCGTGCGCGGCCGTGAACGTTATAATTCTCGAGCTGCCATTTAGTTCCATGATCGAAGGTATTTTATCATGGCCTCCGCCATTCCGATCGCGTGCGCGGACTCGCGACACGATTCCGACGTAATTTCTTACTTTCTTTTTTCATTTTATTTCTTCTTTTCCCATCTAGATCGAGGAAGGACACTGATCAACGGAATGCAGCGATAAGCAAGAACGATAGAACGAAGAGTAACTTTCCACCACGCTTCGCTCTGGCCGCAATATTGCAACGCAAATGCAAGCGCGCGAGGACGCTATTCTCTTTTGCCTGGCAATTATTTTTTATGCGGAATATGTGTCATTCGATAATCGTGAGGCGGAATTATACATCAGGCGGCCGAGCCCGATACATTCGCGTCACGCACAAGATTGCGAATCTTGCTGTCATTAATCGTAATTGCACGACAGTTTTATTTGATCGGGATGTGTATATATATATATATATATATATATATATATATATATAATCGCGATGGCGGAATATTTTGCGTAAGCGAATAGGAGACACGCTTCGCCTTCGAAAGACGTGTATATATATATACGCTCCGTTCCCTTGGCTGACGCGGTTGGTTTATCACGACGAATCGCGTGCGGGAGAGCCGCGCGTACCGATAATTACCACCTGGGATTCCTTTGTATCCACGCTACGCCGTCGATTGGTCGAGAGGTGGATAAACGACCGGGGCCCAGCCGCGTTGCGGGGACCCAGCCACCGAAGATCCGGCCCCATTCGTCGCGACGCGCCGCAACAAAACGCGGACTCGCGGAAAACGCTCCGTTCCGGAAGACCAAGTCGACGTGCCCATTGTCGTTCTCCATACTCGACGGCTATTTAATGTACAGCGCGGCCTCTGTCCTCTCCGCGTCTCTCTCTCTCTCTCTCTCTCTCTCTCTCTCTCTCTCTCTCTTCCCGACAACGAAGCGATCACATTGATAGGAGCCTTCGTACACTTAGGTGTACTTATGCCGTCCACTTATGTGGGATGTGACGTAAACGCCCCATCTATCTATTCACGGCAACACTTCGGCGTATTGTGCACATCGAGGAGCAGCGGGGAAAAAAAGAGCTATTGCTTTTTCTTCATTTAGAACGCGCACGACGCGCTCGTGTCTCGAATAATATTGTTGAGATTAAAATTCGTATCTCTCGATTCTGACGATCGCTCCGCGATCGGTTTCGATAGAATGAATTTCGCCACAATTCCCGGCCGATATATACCGATGTGTACTCGGAGTCGCTTTTGACGAGGGGCCGCCGCGATGTTCGGTGATGCGTAAAATCAGGGGCGATTAGTCGGAATGCACACACAATTAGCGCTACAGCAGTTTCGTGCGGCATTACATACCGCGCGACACGGGGATCAAGCCCACGATTAACGGAGACAACGTCTTTCGTCGTTCTTACGGCCAATTGAAAAATTCGCATTTCGCGGTGAACGTGTGTCGCGACCGTATGCAGGGTTTGCCGGAAATCAGTAGTTCAGAAACCGATCCGCAGTTTAATCGTCGAGAGTTTACGCGACGCGTTCAGTCAACAATTAATACCCACGTTTAATCAGTATAATGTTAGATGCATCATGTAATGCAACAGATAATTAGATAATCTAATGCGGATTATTGTTATTCGCGAAATTGGCGAATAACTTGGGGAATCAACTGCGATTATTGAATTTTCGACAATGGATTATATACGCATAACTGGCATAACGGAATCCTTAATGAGAGTTTGAGAAATGTTACGCTCATCCGGGGTTAATCGGGGAGGGAGTGAACCGGCTCATCTTAGACAGATGTCGAAACCGACCGCAAAGTTCAAAGGGCCGTTATCCCTTCATTACGACGAACTTCACGCGACTAATCTAAAATTTCTCTAAACCAATATATACATATATATATATATATATATATGTATATAGAATATAGAACGAGCGACGACCGTTCCGCCACGTTTAGCCTAATTAAATGGGCCATAACGCACACACACATGGCAACAATTTCGTAATAATCTCAAAGTATCCCCATGTACATATATATATGAGATAAATAGCAAGTGCCATTACCGAATGAATTATTTCGGCACGAGTTCATGCGCAACGATTAAATTCTTTCCACATATATAATTCACAATTGAAATCGATCGCTTTTTCTTCTTTTTTTTTTTCAATATCATTTTCAGATCTCGGGGCGTGTCCGTTAAAAACGCGATGAAACATCGCGAAATCGTGCGTGTCCAGAAACAAAGGGCGGCCGATACCACCAGTGATGTCTGCGGCCTCGGAAAAAAAAAACTCATTGAACCAGGAAAAACAAAAAAAAAAAGAAGATATAACTTCCGCCCGGAGACACCAATAAGAGCGCGGGGCCCCGAGTTCCCCAACGGGGTTTCGTATTCCGCGCAACTTCTCGCAGCCATCGGCGCGCGAAATGTCGCCGGCCTTTGATGTCTCGGGACATTACTGAACACGAAGGATCCCGCCGCGGACGGGAGAGAGGAATTCGACGCCCTATGATCACCCCACCCCCCCGGTGACCACTCGTGAATTGTTGGGCTTTCTGTCTCACCCCCTTCCTCCCTCCCCTCCTCCCCTCAGCCGTGGTGCTTTCGACTCGCGCGCGCAAAAAAAAGATAACACTCCCCGAGCGCTCGTTCTCGCACTTCAACCGAGTCGATCGCGGCAAGAACGTGCCGCTGTTGGGGGGTAGCAGTTTCTCTCTCTCTCTCTCTCTCTCTCTCTCTTTCTCTCTCTCTCTCGCGACCGGATGAGACCGGGAAACAATTAAGGGAAGACGAGGCGCGTAGCGTCGCCTTGTATGATAATGCGTTGTAACCTCCGGTACAGAGAAGGAATACGAGATACCGCGATAAAAGGAAAAAGAGAAGGAGGAGGAGGAGGAGGAGGAGGAGTGCATGAAACGCGGTTATGCAGGTAAGCGACGAGAGGAAGAAGGGGTAGGGGAAGAGGGTGCGGCTAGAAGAGAATACGAAGTGGATTGTCGTGGGTAGGAGGGAGAGGGGAGGGGGAGTGAGGTGGGAATGGGAGTTGGAGGTCTCGTGATTCTTACTTTGCATTCTTTTGTGTATCCTCCTGCCGCCCCGCACTACCCCCCCCCCCCAGCCTCATCCTCCTCCCTCTTGAGGCTTGAACTAACGCCCGAGGTTTTTAATGCACTTGTCTACTCCACATACCGTTCATAAAGACACATGTGTCGTCTGTTGAACGGCGAGTGGGCAGAAGAGCCCCGCGGTCTTGGGAAGAGCGAAACGAGATAGGGCCGCGCGCGTGCATAACTGAAGGAGAGGGCGGGACGGAGAGATGGAGACCGCCGGAGCAAAGGACGAGAAGGAAAAAACGAGATGAAATGGAGGAGGAGAGAATGCGACGGGCGTATAAACGATATAAAATGCATTTTAAATTCTAAGCATCGGCCGCATTATGGAAAGATCATCCTCGACTTTATACGCATGCACAATGTCCCGGGAGAAAGATGAGAACCTCCCCCCCCCCCACCTCTCTCGCGAAAGTTAAAAGAGGAAGCGGTTTCCGTGATTTTTTTGTATGGACATACGGATTACCCGTTATCTGGTTATTCCAAACGTTATCTAATATTCCGCGCTGTTATCACTGAGTGCATTATGTTATTATATATTCATATCGTCTTTCTCTCTCTTGCATTATATGTATATACTGATTTTATACTGATCATGAAAAAATTAGAAATATTCACATATAATTTCCAGTCATACACGAGTTTTGTATATTACACAGTGTGATGGACAAAATATAATATATGATATATATATATATATATATATAATATATATATATATATATATGTTATATTGAAAACATTTGGAATCGTTTCGCGAAATATTAGACCGCACTTCAAAAATAGCTTCGAAGTAATGAAATTATAGAAGCGTTATATATAGAGAAGCAATACCGTCATTGTAGCGGTATAAATCCAAAAGCGATATAAATACAAAGTGTTTCACGTATAAAATAATTAATAAAGGAAAAGAGTAAACGGAATAAATTTATAAGTTACTATAAGAAAAACTCATCAAACTTTCACCGTATTCACTAACAATCCTTCTTTAATGCGAATATCGATAACTTTCTACTCTGTCTGTTTTTTGTCGCGAGTTATGCGTAACTCCAATCGCGTATAAAAATTATATTTATACGAATTTTTAAAAACTGTGCTTTTTTTAACCGTTATTTACTTATACGCAAAATTATTCACAAAAAAGCAAAATAAGTAAAACTATTATATTTGTGTAACGTTCTTATCAATAAATTATTGCGTTTTGTGTGTGTGTGTGTGTGTGTGTATGTCTTGCACGCATCCGTCATTAATTAACGTACAAATAAATTTTAATTTTTAAACAATGTTTTTATCCACTGTTGAACTGCACTGAAGTGTTATTAAGAAATGGAAACGAAACATTTGTAACTTACAACGTAGCACTCGAAATTCGGTATCTATATACATGTTTCTGATGGCTATCGATGAGCTACAGCCGCCAAATTCGTGGACAACGTTAAACGTCGCCTACATAGTAGCAATACTCAAGCAGTCGGTCAATACCGACGACTTACATGCTCGCGTGGAGTTGAATATGGATCGCGACAAAATCCCGGAATGCGCTCGATCGATTTCAATCGTGTGATTAATTAACTATACCTATTAATTTCACATCAAATTTACCTCTTGCGTCCCGGTATCCGCGCACCAACCAGCCCTCTGCTACGGCGTCATTCGTCAATCTATAGACAGAAGAAATGAAGCGTCAGAGACATCCAGCCATATACGTATTCCCTAACGAACGGATGCCCGAGCTCTCTTTTTTCTTTCTTTTCTTTTCTTTCCTCGTCGACATCGATAATACAATAACAATTATGCTACGCGCGCGAATAATGCCACGCGCGGCGGAAGCGGGCGGGCGTGCGGGCGGGCAATTTTGCGCGCGAGAGACCGTCTCGGGTAATAATACCCTTATTAACGTGCAGGGGGGTCGAAGGTGTACCCAAGTGCGTCGATTCAAGGCGACAGTGCGCACGTGGATGGAACCTCGCGGGGACGAGATGCTTTCAGAGGCGGAAAGAAAGCGGGCGCGCGAGATTCGCGCTTCATTCACTCGCGGGTCCACGAAGGGGGAGAAGGGCGGGGGCAGACGGGGAGGCGTAAAAGACCTGTCTCTCTGTCTCCTTCGAGATGTAATTAGCACATCTTCCCGCGACCGTGCGCGACAATGCGGCTCTTAATTAGTATAACGTTGACGTATCCCGACCGGATTCCTCCCCGCGGCAGCGACGCTTCCCCATCCCCCTCCTCCCCCTCCCTCCCGCCAACAGACGCTGTAGACGGCGACGATAACGACGACGGCGACAGCACACGTGGTGGAGAATTTCACGCGCGCGTGATCCGTGCGCGTGTGCATGCACGCGGCAACGAACCGTGCGCGTTTATGTCGGCGCATCACACGCCGCTGCACCGCAGAAGTGTCAATATACGCGGGTGCGTGTACGCGCGGGCAGCGGCGGCGGCGGCGGCAAGCGAGGAGCGAGCTCGCGTGCACCGATTTGCGTCACGGCGGATACTCGGGGGGCAGATATATACCGTAAAGCAGATATTTCTACAGGTATAATAAAGAGCCACGAGACGAGCCGCGTCGACGTAAACGACGATAATTCGAAGCCCCGTAAATCCCTCGGTTGCGTAAATCGCTCGCGCGCAAGTCGCCGATCGTCACGCGGCGTGTCGCGTGAATATCGAAATATACCCGACACGGCCGACTCTGTTCCGCGCGGAAACTGGCGAGGGATCTGCACGATTTAAAGATTGACGGACACAGTTGGCGCCGCAATTTCTCCCGTAACTTCTTCGGTAATGAAAGCTCCGATACGCGGGGATTTGCGCTTAATTTACCGTATCGCGAATCTCAATCGACGCGCGACTGTCAAATCGACTTGAATCGGCGATGAGGCCTGCATGGAGTCTGCACCGGTGGCACGTCAAAAGGAGCAGGTTGAATTCGCTAATAATTTTCTTATAGACTTCCGACAATGCTGCGTGCATTGATTTTGATAGTAAAGACAGTTTTATAACCGCTCCGCCGACTTTTAAACTTAGGTCGTCCGTTCGCCGATAGCCCATCGCGCGTTGTCGCGCGTTGTCGATGACATGCATAAGTCAGGGACACGAAATGGTAGCTGCAGCTTCGTGCGATGCGAATAAAAGTAGATTGTGCCATTTTTTTTTTGCGATTGGTAGTCGAGACATGCGAAAGTAAAGTAAAACATGACGAGAAGCAAACATTTCTTGTTAATCAGTTATTATTAGGTTGCAAACGAGCGATTTAAATTTCATCGTATCGACATACGGCCGGAGGACCGTACGTGAAATTAAAATGCATCTGTTTCTACGTTTCTTAAAGCTTGTATTATTGTGTTATCGTCGAACACGCGTGCAGATATGACGTGGACGGTTATCGTGACATGTCGATCCGTTGCAATTACCGTGCGAGCCACCACTCCGCGCATCCTCGAGACAATTGTAGGGGAGGGAAGGGGACGGGTGACGAAGGACACCAATTGCTGCTGAGCTAGCGACAGAAAGCTGCACGATTTCCGGGATGTGCGCTAATGTCTGATATTAGATCGAGTGTTGCGAGATAACGCGTATATATACAGTCACGCGTGATTATGCAGAATCGGGGGGAAACGAGTGCAAATACATAAAATTCGTCGTGCTAGATATGCGGCTTTTATATCGGAAAGACGTAATTTGCGACGAACTGCGACATATCCCGGCCGTATATGCGGCTAGTTTCTTTACGTAACGATTATTTCTGCGCAAGAATAAGACTATTAAGGACGTCTGCGCAATTCGCGATTCAGTCGGATATTTTTAGACTTCTTTTCTTCGCGAGCAACCGCGACACGTAATGACCGAAGGAAAGATTGAAGTTCGCGATACGCGCGAGGAAAGAAACTTTCGCGATGTCTTACGGGAAGACCGTGTAAAAAAAAATTGTAACGTATCTTTCATTAAACGGAAAAAGCTTTCGATATACGTGTATATAAACATGCCCGATTGTATATCTTCGGGCATCCATAAACACGTTATATATAATCCCATTTAACTGCACCCGAAGAATTAAATATGCAATGAAACGCGTTACATTCATTACGCGCCCCTATCGAAATACTATTTTAATTACAGCGGCATGTGCGGTGTATACGTGTCGAACTCGGCGACGGTTTAAAACGCCCGACCGAAAAGTCGAGTTATATCCGATTTTGAAGCGCGCGATCTGTGTCAATGCCACGATTTACCGTTGCGAGCCTTTCGGGAATTGAACGAATATTGAAATTGCGGGAAACGCACAGAACTTTTGCATAATGAGCTGGCGGCTCACGCCGACACACGTATAGGTACGTGGCCACGCACGCACACGCTCGCCCGACGCCGGCGCGTACATGAATATTTTCATTTGATTGCGTTAATTAAACTCGTGCTGCCAGGCGATGACCTTTGAAGTTCAGCGGCACGCGGCACGCATACACCAATTACCGATATTATTAATTGCAATGTGCTCCCCATTTTCGGCAATCATTATTGAGTCTGGCGAGTAGACGCACGTCTCAGTCTTGAATATTTCTTTTTCAGGACGATGTCTTATTAATTTCTAATCAGTTAAAAAATGAATTTTATTATGTACACACGCACACACACACACACACACACGCACGCACACACACGCACACACACGCACACACACACACACACACACACACACACACACACACACACACACACACACACACACACACACACACACACACACACATATATATATATACATTATACATATATATGTATATATATATATAATTATGTATATATACATAATAATTATATATGTTATTATATAAAATTTTTGTCTATATATATATATATATATATATATATGTATATATAAAATTGAATGCCTGAAATTGCACTTTATGTTGCATTCTATTTTCGAGAAATAGATGTAACTGATGAACATATTCCTAATCGGTTCGTGCGTTTCGCGGTTTAATTGTATCAGTGCTGTAGCACTCGGCATATATCTCACCGCAAGTGATTACAAAACGTTCGCGATGATGCAGTATCTTCCGCATGTATCGTCCTTAAAATTGTTCGCGGTTTTGTGGTTAGACTCTAATCCGCGATGTTGCAAGAAATTAGAAAAATTTAACGGGGAATTCCTCAGTGTTTCTTCGATAACAGCCGACCGCGAGATAAATTATCGTGAGTATATAATTACAGGCTCAGATATAATCGCAGAAATGTGCTACTATTCTTTATATGATTTGACTTTATACACACATATCATACAACTACAATACTTGTAGCATAAATAAAGCTATTTGAACACAGACGAGATTATTATCGAAGACAATATATTAGTATTTTAGATAACAAAAATACTCTAGGTTTCATTATAAATTGAAATTCTGTAAACCGGAAGCATCGCAAATAAAAAAAACGTAAGAAATGAGGAGATTTAAAACTATATCAATCAATATGGATAGTATGATTTATAATACAATTCTAATTTAACTATTCATTTTATATACTTCTAAATTGTCGTTTATTAATAAAAGAGAAAATCTGTACGGCTAAAGATGACCGCAATGATCGAAATATTCCGGGACATTAATTGTTTTAATAAAAGAATTGCGCGTACCACAACATCGGTATTCTGACTCGCATTGATATTGCCTGTATTTATATTGATTTTAAACCAACGAGCTGTAAATTTTATTATTTTATAAATAAAATATTTATTTTTTATATTATATCGCATCTATATCTAAACTCTCGGAAACGACAAAAAGACTTATAGTAAATCAATAAAATAATAAAAATAATTTTTCGAAATAACGGAATATAATTTTTAGAAGAAAAAAAAGTATATGTATATATATTGTATACATGTGAGTGTGTGTGTGTAATGCGACGAAATTTCACGTAATTTTCGACAATACATTCTTGCCCGGTAACGATTTTCACCGAGCTTTCGAGACCTCGCACCGTTGTGTTCCGTTCCGCGATGAGATCTACCAACCGCCGTTAGGGTGGAGTACTTACAGTACAATGAGTATGCAAATAGACCGGCATTCGGCTACATTTGTCTCAACGAGCTTAGGAACGCCGAGTCGCGTCTCACGCGAAGGAGCGGCTCGCTCCTCCTTCGCGCGCGGAGACCATAAAAGTCTGCCCCGTGTTTCCAAATCTTTACAAAGCGCGAAGAGGAGTTATACACGTACTTTCCCGTGCGCATTTTTATTGCTCGTTACTTCGCCCGTGTCGACATTGTTTTTCGTCGCCGCGTTCCTTCCTTTCACCGGACGAGAGTGACGCTACTTTTCAGCTCGGAATATATCGATCGCCCGGCGAAAGTTTCCCTTATTCCCGCTCTCCGCGCCTGATTCCACACCGCGAATGATGGGCACAGTCCGATTAGATCGCGCGTTCTTTCTTCCAAGTCTCTGTCTACACTTGGAAGGATCTCCACCGCGAAGTCGAAACTTTCCGCGAAACTTCTATTCGCGCGTATCCCCCAGCTATATACTTCCGCTCACCTCTCGCGCCGCGCCGCGCCTCGTCGCGGCGCGCGTCCCGGGAGATTAGGCTCGACAATTCAGGGACCTGACGAAAGTTTTCGTCTCGCGTCGCGTAAAGCTTAATAAACGGCAACCGACAGCGACAACGA